TCCGCATGATTTAGGTGAATGTGTCAAGAGAAATATTTGTCTGGGAGGAGGGCATTTAAAAAAATAACTATACTATAATTATATCTAACGGAGAATTCTACAACTAACGATGAAACGAAAGCAGCGGTACCTAGAGACTCAATTCGGGAATGGTTTCTGATTAGTTTACACTCGCGCATACACAGAGTGAGAGCGTATTTGCTGACATTTTTATTGTCATTTTTCTTTTACAAATAATAAGTAGCAAAAAAAATTACAAATAAAATATTTTTTTACATTACATGTTTTTTTTGCATTATATTCTTGATTCTTGAATAAATTTTTCGTTTGTCATGATTATAGCGTTGGTAGGTGTCGCCAACAGATCGACATCCCGCGAAAAACTCGCCAACTGCCAACGGGAACCCCATCGGCGTACCGCGAAAAATACCCCAACCACCAACAAACCTATGAACAACAGCAACAGTAGTCCCCATAATAGACTACCACCCTCATTTGCGCTTGCGGTCTTGGCGCCAACATCGATCTCACTCTCTGTGGTGCCAACTGTGGTATCAACATCTGTCGTTATCTCTGTGGTATCAACATCGGCGTCATTGTCCATTATAGTTATGGCCTCTGTCACGTTTTCCCCGTCCGTTATGACTTCATCCTGTTTCGTGAGCGACATTATTGTGAGCGACGTTACGTTTACTCTGGAGGGCGGACGCCACACTGCCACATGTGCCTCTTCACCAAGCTTATTCGAGCCCGTGCCGAAGTACACGAACACATCATATTGCTGACCCTCTTCCAGCGTCACGTTCACCGCGTGGACATAGGTGTGGTTGTTGCTGTTAATGTTTAAGTGTCTCTTGTAAAGCACATGGTCGTACCCGTGGGTGGTTCGGGTGATGCGCTCGTCGGCGGTGGTGAGTACACCTCCAGAGCGTAAGGGCGCGCACCAGCGCAACTCTAAGCCATCTGACAACGTCCACGTACAATGCAGATCTATCGGCGGGCCCGGTGCAGGTAGTTGTATTTGCTTTAATTGTTCTTACTTCACTGACTTTATAACCCTCAAGTCTCTTCACTCGTACACCTACTTGATATTCTTTATCAAAACGAAGACGGTTCATCAGGCTATCCTTTTGAATAAGAAGACAGTGGCGATCTGGCCACGAGATACACATTATAGGTGTTTGTACAGTCCACGGAGTGTCACTCCAAAAGGTTCCTTTTTTTTAAGATATATATACCAGGAATTAATACCGGCTTGACTCTAACCTCGTATTGCAATTTGGTGCGACATAACGACGTTGGTGGCAGCCAGCTTATCACCACCCAACGAGATCCCGCTGAATACACCTGAAGATCTTCTATTGCAGCAACTTTAGCAGAACAGGTGACGGCGCGAACGGTTTCAGTGTACGGAGAAGACGAAAGTCTAGTATAAAATGGTTTAGACGAATTCGCAACACGTAATATTGGCTTAGCTTTAACGAGGTACGTTGAAGACACA